CGTCAGGAAGAAAGGAGAGGAAGAAGTCCGAAGAAGATGATGCACAATGCATTGCCTACCAGTTTGGATTGAATTTAGACCCTTTTTTTTCATTTTTGGGCCGTTTTTTAAGAAAAAATAAGGCCCAATCCCCTGGATGGCTGGAATCCTGGACTGGAGTCCATGGATATATTTCCTTCAAGTTGCAAATCCACCAAATAAGTCCAAAATTGAAAACAAGTGAAGGGGCGGACGAGATGATTGACGAGTGACTAGCAGAAACAATACGCACGCCGCGGTCTATGACGATGAGCGAGCGAGTGTCGAAGTGACGAGGTTGGACCTCCTATGGGTGGCTGTTGACTGTTGTGGACCTTGTGGTGAACTGTGGACCGACTGTGGTGGTGCGATTTCTTGGTGAGTGCCTTCTTCTCCGTTGTTCTCTGTTTTGTTTAGTTTTGCTGTTTTTCTTTTCTTCTTTTTTTTTTCTTTTTGTTTTGTTTTGTGTATTGTGGCCACTAGTCATCTGTGTTCACACACAATCACATTTCACAATTCACATAATCAGTTTAGGGTTTTATTTATTAGTTATGAATTTATGATTCATGTTTTATGAGATAATTTAATTGCAAAGAAATGAGAATTGTGAATTTGTGATTTATGATAAATAATTTATGTTGTATAAGTTATGAGTTATAATTTATCATTTATGGTTTATGATTTGGGAATTTAGGTTTAGGAAATTAGGGATAAGTGAAAAAAATTAATAGAGAATATGTTTAGCTCAATTCAATCATGTATACTCTGTTTTTTAATCAATTTTAATTGAAAAATAAATTGGGGCATTTTACAAATTATGGAACGTGTTAGTGCATTTACATATTTTGCAAATTATATTTTAATATGTATAGAATTTTCATGTGTTAGTGCATTTACATATATATTGATGAATTTTTAATATTATTTAATTAAATATTAATAAATGGCATTGTTCTTACGATCGTTGATTGTTAACGGTTAAAGATCAATAGTCAACCGCCCTAGCTGACCTCTGGTCCTGAATTCGCCACTGTTGGAGATGCTTATCTTTGGACTGTTCCTCAGACATCTTTGTTTTTTCTTCATGGGAGAAGATGGTACCAATTTAGAGGTCATTGGCTTTTTTAGCAGAAGAAAACAAAATAAAAAATTGGAAGCATATTGCCATAGTGGACAAGTTCTTGCAATTGCTACAAGTTAAAATGCAGCGGGGAACAAAACTGATAGCACCTTGTTTGGTTTGTTAGGGCATGTTTGGAGCCTTGTGAGTCTTGAGGAATATTAGTGTCTTTGATTCCCTATCCACCTTATGTGAAGACAAAAGTACTACACAAAAATTTACTCAAATTCTAGATAAAGACATATGGATCGTTTTCACATAAATGTATTTACATAAATACATTTATGGGGAGGGGGGTCGGGAAGTTGATATCAAGAGTCGGAATGGTCCCATCAAAAGGATCGGTGTATGGAACAAAATTGTATAATATAACAAATAAGATTTTAACTTCGTATTCTATTGCATTTTTCCATTTAAGACAATGGGAATAATCCTTGAAGGTACGTAATAAAATGTTTTTAGACTTTGGTCGGCAAATATATGTATATAACGTAAAAATTCTAGAGTTCTATTTACTATCCATAAACGTAAAACAATAATTCTTTTTTTTTTCCAAATTTTGGAGAGACGTTGATTGTTTTCGATATATACATACATCTTATATGATATAGGGGGTTTATTCTCAGGTCCTTTAAAAGGATTAGCGTATGTGTAATATATTGAACGAAACTAGCTGGTATACCCAATAAGATTTTATTTTCACGTCTCATCATCTTTTGCTATTTAAGATAACATGAAAATATCTCTTATATTATAAAATGTGGTCGACCAAAAAATGAATATTCAATATGTAGAGTTTTACTTTAATAAAAATCATCGAAACCATTTAAATTAGAACTCTTTTCTTCTTATAAATAAGATGGAGTTTGGGAACATCATTTATTCTATTTCCTCGATTAAAAAAAAATGAAAAATGAGCTCAATTTTCTATTCATCTTATTATGTTTTCTTTTTCTTATAATTTAGTAGGCATTGTAGTCAACATTCAACACATGAATGTCATTTTTCTAGCAATTCTCACCAAGATAAATTACCATTTTTTGAATAGTTATAATATAAATATGAACTTCCACCATACCTAATTATCATGAGTATTTATCTTCTTAATCGAAGATCAACATATGTGTATTTTTAAGGATCGATACATAAAAAATGTAATAACGAGATAAAATATCTTTAATATTTAGTCTTTTTTATTTTGATTTTATTTTTTTGAGAAGTGATTTTGTGAAAATGTGATTTTTTTTATTTTTTTTTTAAATGTGTGGACTAAAAAGTAGGAAAAATTATGAATCGATGTGTAAAATATTTCACTGAAAAAATTATAATAAAAAATAAATTGAAAAAGTATGATTTCAAAATCAAAATCAAATTAGGACTAAGAGTAAACCATTGGCAAAAATATATTAATTCCTAGCACGACCTCTAATTGTCGTTTAGAATATGTACAAATTTCAAGACACAGACATTTTAACTTTTTGTATGGAGAGACGGATACGAAAAAAATGGCACTCGTTTCACACAAATTCCATATTCCTTCCAACAGGTAAAAAACGAAACCAAAACGCACCTGTCGACAAAAACTACCCCTCGCCTACTGTCGACAAACGTAGCCATATGGTACTCTTCTGAAAACCGACTGAAATCTTGTAATTTATTTGCCATAAAACTGAACCAAGCTGCTCTCTCTGCCTCTAAATATTCATTGAAAAACCGGTCTCTTCTGACAGGTTGTGGGGAATTTTGTGGGGTTTTGATGAATTGTAGAACGCAGTAAGTGATTTAGAAATCTTCATCTGGTATGTGAGTTCTTGCAATTTGAATTCTTATCCATAAACTCAACCAAATCTCTCTCTCGCTAAAAAAAAAAATATTGAAAACGGAGATCTCATGCAAAACCAGCAAGGAATTTAGAAATCTTGATCCGGTATGTGAGTTCTTGCATTTCTGGA